ATCATGATAGTTGTTAAAAATACGTGAATTTAGATAAAGGTATATTAGTAAAAAAGATGCTTGCTGGCCCTGTTGCATTAGTCTTGTGAACATGGAAACTCCTCCCTAAGTCACGCAGATTATGTTATAAAATATTTTTTAAAATTTATTTATTTATACAAGAACTGGGGTACAGGCCAGAGGTGTGGGAGGGTGAGAGGATTCACCAGAGACAGAGCAGGGAACAGAACAGGCAGACAGACTGAAAACACTGCTGAGGGGAGCAGTGGGTGAGACAGGAGAGGTCTGCTGTGCCATGTGGGTATCTCCCTGGCTGGCCAGGAATCGAACCCGCACTGCAGAGGCTGAGGACAGCTTCACAGAGCTGTGCTCAACCTGCTGCGCCACCGGAGAGGCCTTCTTTTATGAAATATTAATGATAGATGATTTTTGTGAAATCATTAAAATGATTTCTTGACCTCTAGCCCTATTCTGTATACATTGCAGAGTACTGCCCCTATCAAGAATAATAGAGTCCAGAGAGTAGACATATATAATCCACAATGTTTTGGTATTATCTTTCTATTCTTAAAGGTAAGAAAATTATCTCCTGATTTTTTTATTCGATTTATTTAAGTATGGAAAAAATTTTCCTCAGAATAAGAAAGTAGAAATCAATGTCATTTTACTGTGAAAATACGGTGAAGAAATTATAGTTTGTTTCTTTCAAGCTTAAAAGAAAACCTAAATACTTGACCATTTCTGCACATCAAGCCTGATTGTACACGTCACATGAATTGTTCATGTTTTTCACTGATTTGAAAGAAAAAAAATGAACATTTACATTCCTTATGAGGCAGACAATTAGGCATTGTAAAGCTCCAGGCTACTGCAGATGTCTTCTGATTTCATAAATGATTAATATTTTTTGGCCAAGAAAAATCAAGTCTTCACTTTTTGTTCAAGGCCTATGACAAAATAATTGCTAAACATTTTTTCATGTTAATTTTCTTTCACAGTTATCTTTCCTTTCATCTAAATTCAACTCACAGTCCATTCTGTTTTAATGAACTACATTTTGCCTTTCAGTGCTTTCATGTTTTTCTTGGATGTTGTGGAATTAGACAACTTACCACTTCATGGGTAATTATGGACATCTTTTCTGCTCACTATCTGGAGTGCCACAAGGTTTACCTAAACATCACTTCGTCTGTATAAGCTTTCAACAAGCCAAACTAATTTCAAAAAATGTGTTTTTTTTGTTTTTTGTTTTTACACCAATATTATATGTCACCAAACATACTAGAAAAATAAGAAAGCTTGATTAACTCATCTTGGCTGATCATGAAGATGTGGCTGCAGGTTATAATCTTGTGGCATCCTTTGCTTCCACTGGTCTTTTGTGTAGCAAAAAAATTATTTTCCAACTGTTGTGAATTCCAAGTCACTTTCTTTCACCAGACCCTGTCCTGTGATATTACCAAGTTCTGGAGTAGGGGAAATCACTAATAAATACATTTGTGGCTAGATTTCTGTCCTGCCTAAACTCCCATTTTACCTTCAACCCTGCAGAGCTGCACTTGACCATACATAAATTTATAGAGATTTTCCTATCTTTCTCATCTAACAACTAGAATTTTTTTTCTCTTAAAACCTCATGTGGGTCCAGCAGTAGATGACCAGATGAGCATACCCAGGCCTGTAATAGCATCTGTTGGAGAAAGCTTGGCGGGGGAGGAGCGGTAGTAAAATGAGAGGTCCTCATTGCCCAGCACCTTTTGGATCAGAGCACAGAACTATAACAGGGCTGAACAGGAGGCTCTGGGCAAAGGGCCCACCCTAGGAATATAGGACTTTGACCATGATCTGCTGGGTGAGAGCATTAGGCCTTTCAGGGGTACGATCAGGATCCAAGTCTTCGGATCAGACTTATATGACATGACAGAATCTTGGCCTCCAGCCTTAATGTACCACCTCAGCATTCCATACGAGTGCTTGCCAAAAGTACAGAATATCAATCACTTTTCCGTGGAGACTCCCTGCATTCTCATCCGGGTTCACCTTCTCACACTCTGAAGTGGCCACTGATTGAGGAACGTGAACGTGGCCATAGTCCATTTGGATCATGAGCCCACCTATTATCTGATGTACCCATTCATTAGTCCTAAGGAAAGTGGTTGATGTGATTAATTCTGTAGTAGTCCTTACCTCAGTTTTGTCACAGACTCATTCTACAATTGCTCCCTGATGTTCGCTGAGTCAGGGGGACTATGATGAATAGTAGATAAGACAGACTGGTGGCCCATAAACTAACATGTCTTGTTTTTACAACCTGCACAGTGATTAATTAAAAATAGTTGCTGATATTTCACATTGTCAACCCTGGTCTTTAAAATAGAGAGTTTTGGCTTAACTCAAAAAATGGAAAGATTTGGCCTTGTTGAGCTTGTGTGCTTACATGGCAACAGTTGGATGAGGTCAGTGGTTCCTGCCCTCTTTGGACACACTTTTTATTCTCCACTTGTCCCTGGAGACCATGGTCACCTGTCTTACCTGCTTGGTTCTAGTCGTCTTTGGAGCCAATGACTTTTATTTTAGAATCCTGTTGTGAACTTACACATGACTCCTATGGTCAAAAAGGTACTAAGAAAGACCTTTTTCTGCTCCTAGCCATATCTCTAGATTGTTGCTTGTAGAGATGGCTGCTGGTATATATTGCTCTCACTGTGTGTGTTTTCTACTGGTGTAAAAATGGAACTGATGAAAAGTCATAAGAATATTGTGCCTTCAAAACAAACCCTTAAAACTTGACTGCAGAACTGAGGTTGCCAAAGAGGAAGAGTTAGGAGAGAGCATGGGGGAGGGTCCTCCAATGGACTGTGGTGTCTAAGGTGGGTTTTTGATGATGGTGTGGTAACATACTTCTAAAGAGGTTTGAATCTATATTCCTAAGTTACATACAATGTTGTAAAGCAATGTTGCCTATTATAAATAATTTGAAATACATATAGATATAAGTACAATGTTTCTAAAATTTTTTGTTTTGGGTTTTTTTTTAGTTATTATAGACATGGAAGTTTTCCAGGAGTTAATACTAATGTACGTTTTGGTGGAAATATTTTCCACCAAGATTCTGCTTGGCTCAGTATCTTGGTTTTGTGCCACTGAGGCATGTTAGTAAAGACATATTCTGCCACCTCTGTGTGCACATGAGACATTTTATACACTTTCAACTCCAACAGCAGCACTTGCAGGAAAAATGCAATGTATAGGAAAGATGACATATTCCTTTGAAAGAATAGTGTTTGTCTTGAACAGAAACCAAGAAATTTATAACTAACTTAACAACCATCACACCCTTTCATTAGTGCTATTGCAAGTGAAAAGAGGAAGAAGCCACAGGTCAGTGGAGCCTTATGATTTCCTGGGCCTGAGCTGGGACTCAGCTGTTTGCCTTCTTTTCTTCTTTACACCTTCTTAGAATGTTTATATCCCACGGGGAGCAGGAGATCTTGAAGATTCATGCCAGGGAGCAAAGCAAAAGTGCTTATGTTTCTCTTGCTTTCTGTTATGTGAAGATTTTTTTTTTTTGAGCTCCTTTGTTTTATTTTTATTTTTACTCCTAAGTTGAGACAAGGTGTTAAAAGCATATGTTACAGAGTGAGCATCTGTGGAAGTACTCTAATTTTGGAACATGGATGTAAAAGTGTTGAAGTGCTGGCTTTTTCTGAGTGTCAAGAGTGTGGAACAGTAAATGAGAGAGGAAATATGCAGTGGAGGAAATATGAGAGAGAGGAGTGTAGCCTCTCTCTCTCTCTCTCTCTCTCTCTCTCTCTCTCTCTCTCTCTCTCTCTCTCTCTCTTTCTCTCTCTCTCTCTCTGTGTGTGTGTGTGTGTATTTCAGAGAAGAATTCACACTGCGTTGGAAATAACAGGGCACCCAGGAGATGCAACTGAGCATAGAGTTGAAATGTCAAAGTCTTCTTTTCTACACATCTGTCCTAGCTGCTGCTGCTATTTGCTTTTTTTTTTTCTTTTCAAGGAATCTCAAGGTAGAATAATTAATGAGATCAGTGAAAATCATTCAAAGGATGGGGCAAATCATAGTTTCATTGATGTTTTGAAAACTGTTTACCTTAATGTGAAATGGCATCTAAGATGTAAATGGGGTGGAGCTGCTGATATTAGATAGTTTTATTTCCAAGGTCATGTGGTTATTTCAGCATGTACTGAAATCTGCGGACACTGCACAGAAGTATCCCTTTCCTTTTTATTTTGACTTCTAGCAAATCATTAAGTTGCAGTGCATTTTGGAGTCATCAGCTGCTTTTCATGATGAAATCAAAGATATATAATTTGAACTTTTAATATGCAAATTTCATCTATGAAATATTTACAGATAATTACATTCCTGCAAAATATCCCCATTTATAACTTGCAGCTATAATAATATGCTAATGGGTTTATTTGGTTGGCCACAAAACAATCTGAAAAAAATGACAACACATTAATGTTGTCTAATACATTATGATACAATGTATGTTAACCTGGTCTATATATTTTTATAGTAAACATGACAGAGGGACAAACTTTTTTAGGGTGCTTAGAAGCTAATCTTTAATGGAAGTAGTTGTTAATGACAAGAATAAGTCTTAGATTCTGTGAAATGGTGGCTACCTGCCAGGGGGAAGGGAGAAGAGGTTAGAGGGGTAAGTGGTATAGCAACACAGGAATTTTGCTGTAGGACAAAATGAAATATGTTTACATGCTAAAGTGTGAAGTTGTACCTTTTAATGGGAAAATAAATAATCTGATGTTCAGATGAAAAAATAGTTGTTGGGTTGAAAAAGAAAAAAAATCGCTAATTTAAATATGGGTCTGGAAAAAAATGTGAGATAAAAGCTTACAGATTTTTTTCCTAATATATTTTGCCTTTGTACTATCATACAGTTCTTGTGCATTATAAAATGTGTGTGAGCAGAATGGCAGAGATCTGAAGAGTACAGAGACAATCTAGGAATTAAATGATTTTTGCCAGGTCATCTTAATGGAAAGCTGAAAGGTGAGAGAAGAATCATTGAATGTTTTGGTCAAGGGAATGCTTCTGAAATCCTAGCAAGTGATGTAGAAATCACCATGGTGATGAACCCCTATTCAAATACAGGTAGCAGTTTCTTTAAATCAGCTTCCAGTGTAGTGATAGAATTTTATGACCCATGCATCTTATATTACCACACAATAAATACTATCAGCTGAATGGCAAGAATGATTTACTTGGATGCTAGTATTCTGGTTCATTGTGGTGATAGCTATTCAGAGAAATTTAAAATGTAAACATATAATTGGGTGCTGAAAACTTTGAGTTAATTAGATCATATAGATTTTTTAAAATTAATTTATTTATACAAGCACTGGGTACAGTCAGGAACACGGGAGGGTGAGAGAATTGACCAGAGCCAGAGCAGGGAACAGAACAGGCAGAACAACAAAATACACTGAAATACACTGCTGAGGGGAGCAGCGGGTGGCAGGAGAGGTCTGCTGTGCCATGTGGGACCCTCGCCGGCTGGCAGTCGGGGATTGAACCGGCGCTGCAGAGGCTGCAGGCAGTTTCGCAGCCCAGTGCTCAACCACTGCGCCACCAGGGGAGGCCCAAGATCATATAGATTTTTATATGATAGAGCATATAGATTTTTATATGATCGAATTAAGGCTCAGAGTTTTCGGCATCCAATTATATGTTTACATTTTAAATTTCTGTGAGTAACTATCACCACAATGAACCAGAATACTAGCCTCCAAGTAAAAATGAAAAATGTAAGAAATATATAAAAAAAATCTATATGGTTAAAAATTTAAGAGGAATGCCCAATTCTTGAAGGGAATCTTAATCATAGAAGGGAAGGAGTCATTGAGGATATCAGTCTGTGGATTTCACTTTTTCCACCTTATTTTTATTTGGGTGAAATCTGATTAGTATAATCATTAAAGTTCTGAAAGAATGATTACAGGAAATAGAGGATGAAATCCTTCTCCATGATAGCATGAGTGGAAGGGAGGATGCACAATTTTGCTTAGTTCACTTTGTGTGTAATAGAGGTTTTATGGCTCATTAATATCAAGTCACAGATCTTTTCTAACTCCTGCGTTCCTGTGGGGTGCCATAACTCAGGGGTCAGCAAACTGCTCCAAGAGCCAAATCAGGCCTCCCTCTTATTTTGTGAGGTCCTGGAATTAAAAACAGTTTTTAAATTTGTTATAGTTAAAAAAATCAAATGAAGAATAATAATATTTTATCATATAATCTCAATGCCAGAGTCCACAATGACATGTTCATCTGCACATAGCCACATCCATCTGTTTACGTATTGTGTGCGGCTGCATTCACACAACAGCAGAGATGAGCACTTGCAATAGAGATTATGCCTGGAGAAACCAAAAATTTCCCAACCCTGAGTTTAAGGCATGGAGTTTAGGATAGGGCACCCTGATGTTCTTTCTCAAGATCTGGGCAAGAAGGCCATAAAATTACAGGTGGGATTTGTAAATATGCAGATTCCTGGTTCCAGTATATCTGCCTACATAGATACAGATAGTGTGTGTGCGAGTGTAGCCTGCTGAGTAGGAATTCATGAAGCCAGGCAGACAATACAGTCTGCATTTTATTTATTTATTTATTTTTTTATAGTGGCATGTTTTATTTGTTTGTTTTGTTTATACAAGCACTGGGTACAGTCAGAAGCGCAGGAGGGTGAGAGAATTCACCAGACCAGAGTGGGGAGCAGAGCAGGCAGAAGGACCGAAGTACACTGCTGAGGGGAGCAGCGGGCGGCAGGAGAGGTCTGCGCGCCATGTGGGACCCTCCTCCGGTGGCCGGGGAGCAGCCGGGGATCAAACCGGTGCCACAGAGGCCGCAGGCAGCTTCGCAGCCCAGCGCTCAACCGCTGCGCCACCGGGAGGCCCAATACAGTGCATTTTAAACTAGTGTTCCAGTTAGATTTTCTGAGCTCTGTGGAACCAGAATCTTGGTTTTGTACAAGAAAAGGAAATTGGTTTCCTGGATAGCTAGAACTTATTCAGACTACATGAAACGTCGTTTTGGGAATACTTGAGATAGGCTGGTGTGTTCTCATTGCATTCTACATTTTACTGACCCCTTTCACTTGCAAAGCGGATGGGAAACTTTCTATTGAAATAAGGTCTTAACTGTATAAAAATTTCCCTGTAACATTTTTTTTGAGAATGAAATATGGTTACAGAACTTAAAAGTTTTTAACAGAAAAAAATAGTGTTTCCCAGTTAACACCTGTAGTGGTGGGATGGGCACAGGGCAGGATCTCTATGACCCTATGCAGATGGGTGAAGGAGGAGTCCTGGGTCCTCAGTGGCTTTTCAGGCTTTTATTGGGATTTACCAGGTACATGGTGGGAAGGTGTGCTGGGGGGCCAGGAGGCTGGCAGGCTTCCCAGCCCCTGGCAAATCTTCACTCTATCTGGGCTCTCCTGCGTTCTCTCGTGGCCTCTGCTTTTCTGCTGGCTTCCTTGTGATACCACCCTTATAAGCCCAGTCTCTCAGCCCAGGTGTACCCACTTAGCTATGCCCACACCCTAGTCTAGGTGCGCACCATCAGGCATGCATTCAGGACCATAGGGTTCCAGCATCAATCCCAATATTGGGAGGGCAGATAAGTCTGATACTTTTTATCTTACCCTACACACCCTCTGCCACCTTCATGCCTTTCTCCTAGAAACTCCTCTGTAGAGGCAGGACTGGACACAGAGCAGGTTTTTTGACCTAGCAGACCGGGTAAAGGAGGAGTCAGAGTCCTCAGTGGGTTTTTGAAGGTCTTTTATTGGGATTCACCAGGCATATGGCAGGCAGGGGTGCTGGGGGGCCGGGAGGCTGGCAGGCTCTCACTCTGGGCTCTCCGGCCTTCTCTCTGCTTCTGCTGCTTCTTTCTCGGCTTCTCTTTCGGCTTCTTCTTTCAGCTGCTCCTGGCATCCCCAAGACACCGCCCTTAAAAGCACAGTCTCAGCCCAGGTGAATCCCATCTACCTATGCCCACACCCTACTCCAGGTGCCTGCCATCAGGCCTGCATTCAGGACCGCAAGGATCCATCATCTATCCTGATATAGGGCTGAAAAGCCTGACATTTTTCCTTACCCTACATCCCCCCACCCTCTTTTCTCCTGTGTTCCTTTAAAAACATTTTAAGTTGAGGTACTGTTGGTTTACAATACTGCATATGATCCACAGATATATGCCTACATTTTTAATAGTCCATACTATTTCCTGATTTCTCCACTTTAGACATTATCCGGAGACTTCCATTATATAAAGCCGGGCTTTTGTTGCTTCTCTTTATTTATACTCCTCAGTTTCTGATGGTCTCAGGATACTTTGCCCTGACTTACCAGAAGTTTATTCAGGAACAGCAGAGGAATTAATAGCCGAGAAAGATATTCTGCAGCACGCCCCAAGCTTCGAGGAGGGCTTGGGGGCGGCTCATTAGGCGAAGGGAGTACACAAGGGGCGGTCCGACCGCAGTCCAAGCGGTAAGTTCATTGGCTGGAGGATGGTGAGCGATTCTCTGGGGATGATGAGTGGTCAGGTGGGCCCAGCCGCTGCAAACACGCAGAGTGGGAACGCGCAGCTCTCCAGGCCTGGTCTTTCGAGGGCGCATGTGTGAGATGCTCGGGCCTTGTTTGGGGCTTCCATCTCAGCCTGAGGTCCTCTCACACACTTCTCCTGGGAATAATTTCCAAGACGCCAAGGACAGAAAGGGAGGTGCTGCTTCTGGGACCACCATCTTGGTAAGTGATTCATTTCAGTGCCAATTCGGTTCCAGTTGTGCCCTTTATCCAGCGTGGCGTTTCTGTGACCTGCGTCAAATGCCCTGGAAAATGTGTGCAATGAGAGAGAACATTCCTGTACCTTTTATCACTGTCTATGGTTGTATTTGCCCTGTTTGATTAGAGAGGTATGTTGTCACGCACTGTGCCTAATGGATAAATCAAACTTTACCGTAAATATGTATAGGAATCGACACAGTATGTGAGATTCTGGACTTGCACAGTTGGATAAGGGGGGACAGCTGTAGATGCAAATTCTGGGAGTGTTGTCATGAGGGGAACCTGCTACTGGAATAACACAGCCTCGCATCCTTTCACGTACATGCACTCTTTTGACTGTGCTTACAGTTAATGTACAAGGAGCTTGAAGAGTTGTGGTTTCCCTGTGCAGGCAGGTCGCTCTGTTTCTTTTTTCCCCATCTGTAAAAGGGAGATAACACTACTTTCTTTGTCTAGCTGCAAAGTTGCCCTGTAGTTGAAATTAAGAAAAGTATGCATGGGAATGCTTTGCAAAGGATAAAGCTCTGTGCGTATAGAAACCATCACAACTTTTGTTTCCCAGGAAACAATGGCTGTGAGATGTTCCTGGACTTCCCTGTAGGTAACAGGGCACAAAAAGGCAGAGCTGGACCCTCCATTCTAACCAGAAAAAAAAAAAAAAAAGAGAGCCTTGTTTAGGTCACTGCCTTCCCTGGCTCTTTGAGCTGGAGGGTGGGCTGAGAGCTGGGCGGGAGCAGCCATCACAGTGTCTGCCTCCTGCCTGGCTTGGAGCCAGACACACAAACAAGGGGACTCAATGGCTGAATCCACAGCCCAGAATTAACTTTAGGATGCTGAGACCTTCTGTCCAGTGATTTGGGTGTCAATATTCCAAGTCTGGCTCTCTGAGCCTCTTGGAGAGTTTGTGAGGTGCCCAGTATCTTTTAGACCAGTGCCTCAGACTGTAATGTTCATACCAATAACCAGGAGGTTGTGTTAAAATGAAGTTTGGGATGCAGGATGGGCCTGAGATTCTGCATTTTTTTATTTCTTCAGAATTTTCTGGCCATAGTTTTATTCCCATTTTTTGTACTGGATATGTGACCTTATGTTCCTCATTTTTTTTAACATTATGCATTATGGGTATAAGCCTGTTGTCTGTGTTGTATATACTACAATATTTCCTATTTTTCAGTTGTCATTTAGTTTCTTTTTAATCTGTGAGTCCCC